TTACAATCATTTTCAGAAGAAGGGGCGGGGATGATCTTGAACAGAGCCACACTCAATGGGTTAGAACAGTTCAATCTTCTCCAGATGTCATTGAGATGTCATTCTTTCCAATAACAGAACTTCTTGAAGGAGTTAGAGGAAAGGAGCATCTAGCATGTGCAATAGGTCTCTACCTTGAATGTAGGACATCTCATTCCTAAAAGTTTTAGTTCACTTTTATATAATTGCTGCAGTACAATAGTGATAGACAGGATTCCTTCTATTGTCCAATCTTATTTTTAAACTATTGATGTGCAGACAAGCCTCAAATTGAAGAACTGAGATATTTCCTAGAATATCAGGTCCCTCGGATATGGAGCCCTGTACAGGATAGGTTCCCTGGACAACCAAGAAAGGAGCCTGTTTGCCCATCATTGCAGTTCAGCATGATGGGGCAAAAGCTATACGTCAGCCAAGAGCAAGTATGTGTGGTTTATTGGTATCTCAGCCTTTATCCGAACTTAATATACTTCAGTGGTAACAACATTGATATGTTTTATTTAAATTGTTCATGGAGATGAATGATTGAACGTAGCTGTGACAAGAGGTCAGTGTCTGTGGTTAACGCAGTAGAGTATTAAGGAACACCAGTTGCAATTTATATGAGCCTTTTTTTAAAAAAATTGAATTACATTATTTTGGAAGCAAACCTGAATAAGGCGAGGTTGGTCACTCCAATTAGTCCATTAGTCTTCATTGCGGAGTCAACTATAAATTCGGCGTAATCAAAGAGCCAATGCATGTTTCCTCAAACCTTTTTCCTGTATTGTAAATTGTTTAGTGGATTATTGTAACTTGGCTTAATTGGGGCACAGGTGTCTGTTGGACGCAAGCCTGTAACTGGTATGCGATTATGTCTTGAAGGAATCAAACAAAATCGACTTAGCATTCATCTTCAACATTTGGTATTTCTTCCCAAGATTCTCCAGCCATACTGGGATACACATATTGCAATAGGTGCTCCAAAATGGCAGGGTTCCGAAGAGCAAGACAGCAGATGGTTTGAACCAGTGAAGTGGAAAAAATTTTCCCATGTCAGCACTGCACCCATTGAAAACTCCGAGACCTTCATCGACAGCGCTCTCTCTGGTGTGTACATAGTCACCGGAGCTCAACTTGGGGTGTGGGATTTCGGGTCGAGAAATGTCTTACATATGAAGCTTTTGTATTCAAGGCTTCCGGGATGCACAATTCGTAGATCATTATGGGATCACGTTTCAAACGATAAGTCAAGAAAACAGTTTTCCAGTGGAAGTAATTCCGACGACTTGAGTTCAAGTTCCGGAGAAAATAGTGTGAGCAACAAGTTGGCAAAATTTGTCAATATGTCGGAAATGAGCAAGGGCCCACAAGATACTCCAGGACACTGGTTAGTTACCGGTGGAAAACTCTGTGTAGAGAAAGGGAAAATTGTAGTTAGAGTGAAGTATTCATTGCT